TTACTAAGACTATTTATATATGCACACACACGCACACACACACACACACACACACACACACACGCACGCACACCAAAAGGCTGTTTCTCATACTAATTACTTCCGTAAACCGAAGCCCGAAGGAACCCTAGAAGCAAAGCCTCGGGAGGCTTCGCCGCGCGTGCGGCTGCAAGTGACTCAGAGAGCGATTCGGCAGGGAGGCCCAGGAGTAAAGCATCTATAGGGATTCTATAAGGGTTCCTTTAAAGGGATCTATACGCTCCTCATTATGCTTATGGTATAATAATAGGCCTCAAAACCCTGTTCTAATTATCAAGGCCCCTATATTAGGCGAAAGCAATCTGCAAAATGGAACGATTTGATCAGGATGAAGGGTCTTTGAAAGACTTAGTCGGGACCTTTTGGGTGTGTGGGCATTCATTTAGGCGTTGAGGGTTTGGGTTTAAGGTCCTCGTCGAGGTGCCCGAGATGTTTAAAGAGGTTTCCTTTGCAATTTAATTCGCAATCTTTAAACACTCCAGGATTCGTAGCACCATTCCCAAAATCTTGATCCAGTCGTTCGGGTTTCGCAAGACCAGCGCAGACCTAACCCCCAGACTGCAGACCTCAACCCTCCAGTAGCGCTCTTCTCCTTGCTGACTTCATCTGACTTGGTGCACTAATGTAGGGGCTTTAAGAATTAGAATAGGTTTCTGCGGGTTCCTTATTATAGTTGTAGTCTAAGATAACCCCAAACCTTATTCTAATTATGAAGGCGCCTACATTATAGCAGGGCCTCGCATTCCCACCTGGCGGTTGCAATGGGCGGTTCGCGAGCCGAAGACAGACCTGAGAAATAAAGCGATGTCGAAGTTTCTTGCTTTCAGCAGATCTTACACAAACTGGCTCGCAGAAACCTGCTTCTCAAGTCGGTTCCTCAAGCAGCTACATTACCTGGACAGCGCCAAAGCCACAAATCCTGGGCTTAGGGTTTAGGGTCAATCCTTCTAGATCTTCATCCCTCTTGGTGGAATTGGTTTGTGTGTTGTGGTGATTCTGAAAGCCCAACCCTGCAGAACAGGTAAGTTCTGCAGCCGCTCAGGAGTCCTACAGCCAGAGTTCCGATGACGAGGTCGTTTACCCCGATAGTTTGGGTCTCGGGCTGAAGGTCTACGTAGGTTTATGAAACATTTATGGCCGACGGTTTGGAGACGGCAGGTTTTTGCAGCAACTGTGCAGGAATTCCTTCAGGCTACATGCATTGAGGGAGTGGGCCGGACGGTTCATAAGGTTCGCTCACTGTGTGTGAAGGTCGCATGGCAACTCTGTGGATATTGCTTCGTGAAGTATGGGCAGACCGTTCTTTTGCAACTGTGTAACAATTATTGTTCTCCCTTCGATGTGTTTATCCGTGTGTGTGTGTGTGTGTGTGCCCACTTTTTGGATTTTTGGAACAGATGCCAAGCATCCAGGCCTCCCGGTGTTCCGTCGTACAACAACGTGCTGCAACAGCCAGAATTTCAATACATGTACTACATGTACTTTCAAACGGGATATTCAGCATTTCGCCCTGGCCTGGCTTCAAATCGAAGCTCCAGGGGAACCCCAGTAGCGCTCAAACCCATACACCCCGAAGCTCTTCCCTAAACCCCTAAGCCCTGAACGGAAAGTGATATGGGAGTTTCCGAAAATAGGGGATCCGACTATAATACCCTAAATAGTAGGATCCTTATACTAGGGACCCCAGAATAAGGTACCCCTAATTGTCGGAAACTCCCATATGAGAAGTGTCGGCAGGAGGATATGAACGAAGCTCCAGGCCCAGCCTTAGCACACTTTTGGGGGTGAGGTTCAGGGCTTCAGGCCCCTTAGTTGTGAGCTCTGTAGTTGCAGTACAGTTACCATACTTATCACGGTTCAGGGGTAGTCATTAGTCGGGTTATAAGTCCCCTAGTATGGGTTATAAGTACAGTTACCATACTTATCACACTACTTATAACTACCCACGAACCTCCAAGTGTAGTCTCAGGGCTGCAGTGCTTCATTCTGTACAGGCGCTTCGGAAGATTCAAGGGTGCAATTATTGAGACCCTTCTAGGATCGGCTTGGGAATTAGAGTCGGCTCTTGTGGAATATCATACTATGACTGCATACGGCGCAGAAGTTGATGTTACGTCCCCCCATGAGGAGATTCAGAGGTTGGCTTGCAGAGTTCAGCTTCGTGCTCTGTTTGCAAAGGTTCAAGAAGATGACACAAAGCTACCCTAAGGCTCCAAAGTAGTTCCTTTTTGGGGCTTCATACTTAGAATCCTATAAGGTAATCCCAAAAAGGAACTACTATGGAGCCTCTGGCTACCTTGAAGATTTGCTTTGCAGTGCAGCCTGCATCCTGGACAGAACAAGACTCTCGACCTCTAACTAACGACACCCCAGACACCGTAACCACGCAGCTTCCAACAAAAAAAAGCGTCAAGTCGTAGGACCAATAGCTCCGGAACCTAAAGCAAGCTAGGCTGTACAGCCCTCTGGCAAACGCGGAAAAGTCGATACTGTCGAGAATTATACTCTCTAAAGCCTCGAATCATGCAGCAGAACTCCCACCTTTGAGCTACTGCCGGGACTCGATTCTTGTGCAATAGGACGTGCCAAATATAGTAGTTACAAGGAGTAGGGACCTCCCAGACCCCGGGACACCGGTCCCCACCCTCCCCAGAGCCCCGGCGCCAAGGGAGCGAGTCCAAACCTCAAAAACCCCGCTATTGAGATGTTTGAGGCGCGGCTGACAACGGCACTGCGCCAGGACCTTTGTAAAGCGATCCTTTTGAAACTGTCCGACTTCTGTGCAGGAAAGATTTTATCATGACGGGGTGCTGGACAGGAATCCATAAGTGGTACCAAGCACCTCCGTGCTACCTTGGGTCTAGGACGAATGATGGGTCTGCAGGGTTGAGATCAGATGTCTCGCAAACTGCACGTGTAGTTATGTTGGTGCTCTCATTTGTCCCGGGGTTTGGGTTTAAGGAGATATCTTGTTTTCAGGCTTTCAGCGCTTTGGGCGTAGACTTGTCCGGTGCTGCGTGCTTGCTTGCACGGCTTACGGATAGTGAATGAAACATTTTTTTACAGCAACTAGAACAACTATGTTCGCATGCAGTTGTACTGCGGTCCTGCTACAGTCATTGTGATCGTTGCATCGCCGCTTTTTCTCATTGTTCGGGGCTCGGTTGAACGACAGACAGGAGTTCAGGAGTGCCTGAAGCCAGAAGCCCGGAAAATCCCAATGCCCCAAAGCCTATAACCGCTAAACGGCTCTAAACTCTAAACCTTAAGCCCTCAAACCCCCCAAATGGTCTACAAAAAGCCGCTACTGGAAGCCTTCACACTGCCGGACCTCAGACTCCGAAACCCGCAATGCTGAGGCCCAAGGGAGAGCGCTCGGTTCGTGACACCCTTCTCGGTCCGGGGCTTGCTACTGTGTCTATGTCATCCAAGAGTTTGCTTCAAACGACCTTGGGCAATACTTTCCTAGAGCCGTGGAATGGGGATTCAGGTTGCCCTTCAGTTCCAAAGGTTGTTGCGTGAAACTGCCTCAGTGCTTCGAGCCATGTTTTGCCTAGCGTTGCGAGATCTGGTAGTAGTTTGATCGGCGCCGATACATGCCTTAAAAGTTCAATTGTCATGTATGGTTCTGCAGCATGGGTTTGTCGTGAATATGTGAACAGTTGTCTGTAGTATATATGTGTGTTAAATCGTAAATGCGTGCGTTCAGTCTTGAAGCAGGTCGGTTTGCTAGCTATCCCACCAAGACTCGGTACATCCCCGAGTGCAGGGCTTGCCGACAACCTTCTTTCCAAAAGCCACAAGTCTGCAGCTCGCATTGTAAATTCCAAGCCGAGCCAGAGCCCAAGGTGAGATTTTCCAGGATCTGCAAGTTTTCAGCGGCACACCGGGCCGTGCGACGATGAAGGCGGCGCAGGGGCTAGAGTCTAGAGCATTGGCACGAGGAGAAGCATGATGGTCTTGAAATTTTGAATTCAGTGTAAAAAGCACAGCTGTGATCAACTTAATTAATATGACAACGACGACCGACGGCTGCTGCTGCTCCTACGATCACGACGACTACTTCTTCTTCTTCCACTCCGTCAGCTGGTTCGGCTACCTAAACCCCAAATTATATAAACCCAACATGAGCTCACATCCCCCTGAATCACCCAGTACAGCGACATGTAGCCTCAGCCTCGTCAGAGGCCATGCAGCGTTTCGTTTCCATGGTCTGGTCCTTGGCATCTTGTGATCATCATAGTGGTTTCGGGCCGCAAGAGCTGTGGGTTTTACGATGTTGGGATGTTGGGTTTCAGGCTCTTCGGGTTCTTGGATCTGTGGAGCTTGGATCAAGTAGGCTTTTAGGGCTTGTGCTCAAAGACATGCAGCGTGGCTGTGCAAATTCGGAGTTCTGTGCGCTTTGCTGCGCTGTTCAGCTATTTTTGCCGCACGTGGAGTTTGCGTCTTTTGAAAATGGTGATGTTGCTGGCCCCGGCCGCATTGCTCTCGCACCTGTAAAGGACGGGAAGGACCTGCACACTGCAAAGTCAGCATAATATACCGGCCTGACTGAACGATTACCAGTTCTGTTCCCTTCCCTGCAGATTCTTCAAGCGCCCGTCTATTCAAGCAGATTTCTTCGTGTTCTGATGTTCCGTAGGACCTCAGAGTTTTTGGCGCGTTTGTTCTTGCCCAGCTTGTGCCATGAATGATGCACCGCAGGCTTTTGATGGCTCATTTTGTCAGTCTCGACATCGACATCGCTGGGTTTTCCTGCCGTGACATATCTTTAGGCCCCGCTAGGAAGCACTATCGGCCTCTGCATTTCAGCACTCCAGCCTTTGAAGGACATTTGGAGGAGACTTCTACTCGACTCGACGTCATATCTAGGCAGCATTTTCGGCCTCTGTATATGGAGGAGACTTCGTTTATTAGATTGTTCACACCTAGGCCCTTAGGCAGTGCCTCATTCGGACCAAATGGGGGAATGTTGCAGCCGGGCTTTGCCCGTCCTTGTTGGATGGGTTCTGTGCTCGCCGGTCAGCGCGGAAGTCTTCACGCACAAGGACCCCGGGTCTAAGTCGCCAAAGGCTTCGCGATGCCAGAGACGAGTAGGTTTCTGAGCCGCTTGAAGGATGCTTATAGGACGGTGCAAAAGCAGCAGCTTAATGTTCGCCCTGAGTTCGGAACCCCAGAAGATTCGACGCGCAGTGCTTCTTGACGAACAGGAGAACATGGGCCTGCAAGATGGACGACACGACCGGTACCCATGTGCCAGCACGCCGCGGATTACGAGCTGGGAGGATGGGCCCACATTCAAAATCAATCACGAACCTTACACCAATACGCAAATTGGCTGATTTCCTGGCAAGTTGTGCAGATGTTTGTTTGAAGTGTTCGTTGCTTTTTTGACAGCGGATGATAAAGCAACAAGTTTCTCAGACTAAGGAAGAAGGTGTTTCTGCGAAAAGGCGAACTGCCTCCGTTGACCCAGATCAGTGTGGCCGATTTCCTGGAAGGGACATATTTTGAGGACCACGACCACGAAGATATGTTCGAGCTGTTCTACGTGCTGTCAGGAGGGGTAAACCACAAGCCGTCCGATTTGGCGTGCAAGAGTCCGTCTGTCTGGCTGTAGGTGTGTAAGTCAGCAAGCACGAAAAAACAATAAGTCAGTCTGTAAGTGAGTAGGTAATCTTGTATGTACGCATGTACAGATGTATCCGTACATACGTACTGGTTACGTGCATGACTATGCTATGATGCACAGAGCCGTGCATGCATGCATGCATAGTGCCCAACTGAGCTTGTATTTACACAGCGTACGTGGAGAGCGAGACGCAAAGATTGGGTAGCTCACGATCGTAGATGTGCAGGCATTGGGTTGGAACTCAGACATAGTTGTGGACCAGGAAACATGCATAGGGACAAAGGCGCAAGCATGTACGTACACACACAGGCACACACACACACAAACACACACACACACACACACACACACACCACACACACCACACACACACACACACGCACGATCTTGCCACGTCGCAGGACATGGCCGCTTTGCGATCACAGAGCGGAATGCTGGATCCGGGCAGTGGAGTCGTGTCGAGGTGGCCTCAAACCAATAGACTCAATAGGCGCAATAGACTTGTTGTTGCGGGATTGTGCGGTGGTCAAGTCTAACCTGATGAATCCAGCGTGCACCTCTGCCTTCAGCTTCAGCATTTAGGGGTAGTTGTTATAGAGTTGCAGGTGTTCTCCCCCAGGTTCCGGCTGAGCCCGGCACATTGCTGCATCTACCGCCGGGAGTGCAGTGCCGTGGCCCACGATAAATAGGAGGGTCTTTGAGGTCATTACTTGGGGGTCGAAACGTAGGTGTTCCGGTCGGTAAGGAGTTTCAGTGCTCCTCACTAAGTGTTCGAAGCTCCCACCAAGGCACCCTTAGGCACCCTCAGACTTTGTCATAGGGTTAAGGGTTTAGGGATTCAAATTCCTGGACAGGGACAGGACCGACACAGGACTGATGCCTTACTGCAACGAGCTGAACAGACAAGACCGCTGTCTCTGGCCTTGGGTTGGTGAACTGCTGCCTGCCGCGAAATCAAGGACTACGTAGATAGATAGATAGATAGATAGATTCATAGATCAAGTTAGATAGGATAGGTAGGATAGACAGGAATAGAGAGGACGGATAGGACGGATGGGATAAATAGGATAGATCGACATAGGTAGGTAGGAAGGTATAAGCAGACAGATAGATAGATAGATGGATAGGAATGCAGGTGCGCAGATAGATAGGCATGTACAGACGTACATAGTGTCACAGATGCATGCATATATAAATCCCCCAAGCCGGTACAACAGTTGACGTAGATCCCGCAAATCGTTTCATAGCTGGCTAGTCTGCCATATTACCCAGTTCGTGACATGCAAACCCTAAACCCCTATGTAAACCCTAAACCTCACTCATCTCGAGGCATGCAGGTCTAACAGACACCGGCTTTCGCTTTCTGATGCTCGGCACCGTCACCCAGGACATAGGTTCTCTACTTTTGAATTTGGGAGTTTCCGAAAATAGGGCATCCCAATATAGTACCTTAAATAATAGGATCCTTATTATAAGGAGCCCAAAACAAGGTACCCCTGATTTTCGGAGACTCCCATTGCGGAACTCTCACCCAGGAGCCCAGAGACAAAGCGGATGAGCCTTGCTAGCCCGAAGCCCCTATAGGCTCCATTCACATGCCCTGCTTTAAAGCCTGAATTACTATAGGGGCCTAAATAACTACCTGTACTATTTTGGTGGTTCCTTCTTATGATATTTTTTTGTATGCTGGGCCCAAAAACCCTATTCTAATTAAGTATTAAGGCCCCCATATTAGCTGATTCAAACAGGCTTAACCATGTAACAGGATTTGTTTTGGGAGTTTGAGTGCGTTCTGTCACTCGACTCCGGTGGCCGTACAGGACGAAGCGTGCAACAAGACATCGCTGATCACTGCCGGCGCATCCCATACATGTGACTTCGTGCAACATTAGCACAGGCATTGCTTAAACCCTAAACCAAAACCCTAAATCCTGACGGCCAAGGAAAATAACCTAAACACTTCACTAAGCCTAAACCCACAGGAGTCAGGTAGTGCTTGTACTCCTTGTTCCACTGCACATCGGCCATGTCGGCTTCGAAGGGTTCTGGGTGCTAGTTGCAAAGTTAGTCTGCGTGGCTTCGGAGCAAGGCCGTCCACACTGCAAAACTCCATGGACAGGGGCGGCATGGACAGAAGTAGGTTTCAGTGTCGTCAGTTTGGCTACCAACCACGCAGCGATTCCACGAAACATATGGGATACGAGACTCCAGCCCTTTGTACCCAGACCAGAATCGCCTGTCCGGAAATGCGTGAAACTGCAGGGCTAGCATATTTGGGGAAAGCTTCCTCAAAGCCGGAAGTTGGTTTGCGTTTGAGACGAACCGTTGCTGCTTGGTTGTGAAGCCGAAGATGGTAAGGCCGGGTGATATCCCAAGAATCCCAGGCAAGGCTACTGCGGAATTCAAGCAGCTGCGAACCTCGGAGGAGGCACATTTCTTAGGGGCTGAGCAAAGTGCACGTGTTATATATATATATATATATATGATATGATATGATATGAGATTTACCTGTTTGTTTATTTACCGTTTCAAATTGACATTTTATTTCTGTTTTATATGAGTAATAGCAATCATTTTGACAAAAGTGGGCATATCTGGTCGAGTTAAGTTACTGACAGGTATTGAGAGATGGCAGTAGTAGCACAACTAGTTTTAGTAGTAGGAGGAGTAGTAGTAGCAGCAGGAGTAGTAGTAGTAGTAGTAGTAGTAGTAGTAGCAGTAGCAGTAGCAGTAGCAGTAGCAGTAGAGTTGGTAGTGGTAGTGGTGGTAGTAGTAGTAGTAGTAGCAGTAGTAGTAGCAGTAGTCAGTAGTAGTAGCAGTAGTAGTAGTAGTAGTAGCAGTAGTAGCAGTAGTAGTAGCAGTAGTCGCAGTAGTAGCAGTAGTAGTAGTAGTAGTAGTAGTAGTAGTAGTAGTAGTAGTAGTAGTAGTAGTAGTAGTAGTAGTAGTAGTAGTCTTCTACAGTAGTAGTCGTCGTCGTAGTTGTAGAAATTAGTATGATACGAGTGACAATATTGATCGTAGTCATATACCAATGATTGAGAGAATGTAGGCCACTAAGACTGAATACCTATTTGGGATTCCGTGAAGGTGGCGTGTTTGCACAAGTTGCACATACACCTTCGTTCCGACCCGACACCGGGCGAAACCGAAAGCTGTATCGTCACAGATCTGAGGGGTGTAGGGCTGCAGGGCTTAGGATGTCGCATGGCATCATAGAGGGGAACCTTACAGCTAGGTGCTGCTAGGGTCTTCAAGCTAAAAGCATGCGCAGGCACTATACAGGCAACCTAGACTCTAAACCCAAAGACCCTATAGCCTTAAACCTGAAAGTAAATGACAAGCCACAGTGTTACATTGTCGTTTAAGGTTTAAGGCATTAGGGTCTTTGGGTAGCCCGACAGCTTATAGCCTGAACTACCGCAGCCCCTTAACAATTTGCCCGTGGCCTTTAACCGTAACCCGTAAGCCCCAACGCCTGAGCCCTGGAAATGCACCATACACCTACATGATACGTATATACATAAATACGTGCATACATACATTACGCCTCTGAGTCTTTGGGTCTACAGCTCGCCTTGACTCGGCCGAAAATCTCCATAAAGGCAGACTAGAATGCCAAACCGCTAAACCTGCAACCACCAACCCCAACCCTAAATCCGACATCTGTCCCACTCCAAGGCCTTTGACTCGCAGGAAGGATTCACAAGCCGGTCGAGTCTTCTTACTTCAGGTGCCCAGTCTTTCTGGATGGAGTTTAGGAACTTGGTTTAGGCATTCAGGTTTGCCTGTAAAACTGTTCAACCACATCTTGCCAAATCTGCAGCAAGTGGCCCGCTGCCTCAGATTGTCGCAGCTTTGGATGGGTTCAAGTTGTGACACTTCATCTGCCAGTCTTAACATAACTAAGTTGCGTCAACATCGTGTTGCTTCTGCATCAGGCCGCTTTGTCGAATCCTATCGACAGCAACCTTCGAGCAGTTTCGATTCCCTACAGGGCATGACTCTTTGACCACGACATGTCTAATCGTGTCTATGATGAGTCGTGTCTATGATGAGATTTGCCTAGGGATGTTGTTGGTCGTGTTGTCGATTCTCTGATCCTAAACCCTAAACCCTAAACTCTAAACCCTAAACCCTAAACCCTAAAGGTGAGCTTCCAAGCATCTTGGACGTGTCCCGGTTTCAGCTGAACTCCCAGCAGCGCCTGGCTCTGAACTTGCCGGGCTCCGAAGCTCAGGCGGCCCAGGCCGGATCACGGGTCCGGGCTTCTGAAGATTCAGAGGCTTTAGGGTCTAAGTTTGGTGAGCTTTAGGGCAAGAAGTGCTTCGGATATAGTGAGTGTCAGGGTTGAAGGTTCTGGGTTCAGGGGCTGCCCTGCACTGGGTTCGTCGCACGGAATATACGGATTTCGGAAGCATCTTCTAGAACCCTGAAATGCAGACAGAGCCGGTCTGCTATGATTATATATCCGGGTGCAGACTTGCGGCACCGCCCCGACCTAAACCCTAAACCCTACATTATGTTCTTCTATCCCGGGTTTTGCCCTCGTTGAATCCCCAGGTCTTTTACGTTCTGCACGGTTCGGGTGAGGCTGTCGGGCCTACGCTGAAAGGACAACGTGGTTGGAGTTCGGGTTTCAGTGTCGTTGGAAGTGTGCAAGTTGTGCTTAAATCCGTGGAGCTGCTTTGGGCCTGAGTTCCCCAAGCCCTAGAGCCCAAATTTAAAGCTCGGAACCGTAAATCCCGAAACTCCAAACGCTTGAACCGCACGCTAAACCGGTTAAGACAGCACGGCGAAAGGACCCTTGCAGCAAGACTCCTTCATGCTGCTGCCGCCTGGGCATGCGACTGAAGTATTCGCTGGATCGACGGGCATGGAGCTGATCCACGGATGCAAGTTTCGGTATTGGGTTGAGGAGTTGAGGGCAGGCTTGAGTTTAGGGGATAATCGCCGAGCCACACCGAACGACTCAGACCAACTGTCTAGGTTCACGAGTGACCAAGCCAGCCTTCGTTCCTTGGGTATGCAGCCGGCAAAGCTTCGCCATAGGTAGCTTGAGTGAAGTCCGAAGCAGTGGGCCCCTGGTGGAACACCTTCCTGCCGTGCATGTAGGTGTTATACAGGATGCCTCGTGACGACCTGTCTTGACAGTCCACAACAGAATACAAAGGCAAGAACATACAACGTCTGCGCGAGGTAGCTGCCATAAATTTGCAACTTCATTGTCCTCATAAGCAGAATCCAAGTTAAAGGGAATGCCGGTGCGAATCATCCTGTGTCCAGCTTCCAGGCTCCGCTTCGCCATAGAGCCGAAATGCCAACTGGAAGCACGTGATGAGCTCTGAGCGTAGCAGCCCATCCAACCATCGGCCAGCGCAAAATGTCGATCGCACACGGATTCCCGGAGCCCCATTAAGCCCGCCCGTAGGCGTTCGGTAAGCAGGTTCAGGAATGCCTTCGGGGGAACCCAGAACGACCTCATGTACAGTCCGTTTTTCTTTAACGAGGCTTTTTAGGTTCCTTGGGAAAGGTTTGAGGGCCTAGCTCGCCTATCAAGAGCCCTGCATGGTTGTCAAGGGTGCAGGCATCAGGGGACTAAGAGTTGCAGAGGTTGTATATGTCCCCAAAGTTAACCCTTGCAATAAACAGCTCGCCTTAGTTGCTGCATGTGATCAGCTGGTGTTCATTTTTGTTGTCGAGGTCTTGCAGAGATCAAACTGCTGAGTCAGACCCTAACACGTGGGACCTCATCATTGGAAGCTCTACCGTAGACCCTCACTTGGAGGTTCATTGGTAGTTATAAGTGGGGTCGTAAGTCCCCTAATATGGATTATAAGTATAGTTACCCTACTTATAACTACCCATGAACCTCCAAGCAATCCCTGAGCTCTATTCCGAGCATCCGACATCGTAATGTTACAGATGCGTCATTAGTCATACATCACCATATCCCGATCATGGCATGAGAAACGATGGCTGATCGCTGTAGCTATTTGACTTACAACTCTGTGTGCTTGTGCATTGTCATGAAGATTAAACGCGCAAGATGGGCGTGAACTCAAGCAACCTCTACACCCCTCGGGAGGAGTCGAGAAGGGGGCACGTCGACTTATAAGAAGCTCTCACAGATACTTGGGTTCTGTACAACAGGGCATTGGAGTCTGGGGCTTCGAATTTGAGGCTGCGGGGTTTAAGGCTTAGGATCGCGGGAGCGATGAAGGCCAGTATACTTCGTTTTGTAAAGAGGGCTTGGGGTTCAGGGTTTAGGGTGAAGAGGGCTTGGGGTTCAGGGTTTAGGGTGAAGAGGGCTTGGGGTTCAGGGGATTGTGTCTCAGATGTGGCCCTTTTCTGGTCTCCTGCTGTTTCGGTCGCCGGTAGCTTTCCCTTTCTTTCTTTCTGCGTGCGCTGCATTCCTGTTTTTCGCTACGCCTCATATGTTATTCGCTTTGGGGTTTGTCATTTGTTCTGCTGCTGCTGGTGCTGCTGGTGCTGCTGCTGCCTTCTCGTGTTTCCGCTTTCGAGTTGCTGAGTATGTTTTGTTGGTTTTTGGTGTTTGCTTTCTACCCGGACTGCGTGCTGTGTCTGGCATCCTCTTCAGCGGCAAGATTTGAGCTACTGGGAAATTGCAGCTTGCATTGGCATCCGGTCTCGCGACCAATTGTTGAGCAACTCCAGGTTGTAGGATCGGGTTTTTGCGGCAATGTGCCGGGAGTTTCAATATTGGTGCTGGCCAAATCGTTACATTGGATCTCAAATGACAACCGCCGTAACACCACGAAGAAAGATATGGATAGTCAATACACTGCGGCGGCAATTGAGAGCCGATCGATTTTACCGAAAGCTTGCTATCCTTGGTCATCTTGACCACTTGCACCACTTGGGGGTGGGGGGGCGGGCGGCAATCTTGGTCACCCAGATCACCCAGATTGCCGCTCCGCTCCCCCCCTCAAGTGGTGCAAGTGGCAAAAGGCAAGTGGCCAAGATGACCAGGCTTGCGCATGCCGTTTTGGTGGCTGATCGGCTCTCGTTTGCCGGCACGCAGAGTAATAATAGCAGTAGCAAATGCACATTTGCATTTCCCCCAAAAAAAGAGCCAACGAATGCTACCGTTGCGGCCTACAGATTCAAGGGCTAGCAGCGAAAGCAGCAGACCAACAACACTCGACAAGCCCGAAACCCTAAGGCCTATAAGCCTTACCCTTACCCTCAAACCGTAAAGCCTGAGAGCCCTATACACCCCAAACCCAAAGGCCTACATACGCCCTAGCAGCCCAATAATTACTGCCTAAACTTTAAACTTTAAGGCCTTTGTATGCCCTAGAGGCCCAGTATGGCCCTAAACCCCAAACCCTAGAGCTTGGGCCAAGCTCGAGAAGCCCTAAACCCCAAGCCTCTTTACTGAGAACGGAACGGTATTCCGCAGCTACCGACCGAGGTAGGCTTTGAAGGCTCGGACAATGAGTGGCGCGAGGAGTACTTGCTTGGGCCTTGGGTTTTGGGTTTAAGATTTAGGGTTATAGGGGTTTAGGGTTATAGGGGCTTTGACTTCAAAATTTAGGGTAGTTAGGGGTTTAAAGGGTTTAAGGGTGAAGATTTGAGACCGTAGGATCCGGCGCTTTCGATCGAGGGTCCTGGAACTCGGTGGCTTTACGGTTTTAGAGCTGCCATGACTCAGTGTCTTGGGCCCACCCACCCACCCCTCATCCACCCTGCCCCTCCCCACCAAGAATCACATGCAGTACGCAAGACGGCGTTCATGCGAAGACAGCTTCCGTGCAGGCAAAACATGTCGGACCGCGCTTGACGTGTTTGCGTCCTTAACTGAATGCCGAGGTCTCTCTGCAAAGAATGGCGCCACACTCGGCTCACACATCATAGAAGTTGCGATGTGAAGCTGTCAGCATGTGGACTGTGTGGACCCTAAATACCAGGATCCTTTCCAACGAGTCTGAATTGCTTAGAAGCATCACATGGAAGGACACGTGTCTATCTAGCACTGACGGCGGATCCGAAAGGCAAGCCCTTAGCAAGGCATCCTATCCGAGTCTGTCTGTCGAGCATTAGTCCACGGCACTGTTCTTTAATGCTTTTAATATATGGTTAATTATTACTATTAATACTAAAATCGTTATTACTATTACTGCTATGAATATTATTAATATTATAAATATTACTAATACGATTATTGCTATTACTATTATTGCTGTTATCACTAATGAGCTCCTTCCCTGCTGGTCTGCTATGAAAGCCGTTCTCGCTTGCTGGGCTGTGCAAGCACCGAGGAAGATGGAACCAGACACCGGGTTCAACCAGGCCCGGCTTTCCTTTCGCCGGTGTGGGGAGGGGGTTAGGGCTTAGGGGTTTAGGGGTTTGGGTTTAAGGTTTAGGGTTTTAGGGTTTAGGGTTTTTAGGGCTTAGAGTTTTAGGGTTTAGGGTTTAGGGGGGCAGGGGCCAGGGATAAGGAGTCATGAAGTTAGAGGATCCTGGGCTTTAGAGTCCAGGATCCTGAGCTTCAGGCGTCTGATGTGCAATGTCCGCGTTCGACGACTTGACGTGCAAAACCGTGTTGCGTGCAAACAGTGTTTTGGTGGGTGCGGGGCGGGTGGCCAGTAGGTTTTGGAGTTCTGGAAAGCACTGGTTACAGGAGCAAAATTGCCGATGCCTTTGTTGCGGTTGCTTGTGACTCCTGGGCTCGAGGCCTATGAAGGGTTTCTCAACTTTTCGATGTCGGGCCTTAAAAGCCCTGAACTAAGCCGTGAATTTTAATCCTCAAGGCGCTGTCGCCCTCATTAAAGAAGTTCTTTTTGCGTTTTCCCCACGATTTCGAGCTTCTGTTTAAGGCTTCCTTGGAAGGGCCAGTCGACGGGCCCTACCTTCCGAAGCCAAAACCCTAAAACCGAAAGGAGGGATGTGTACCGTAGCCCGAAACAGGGTCCCTTTAAAGGGATCCGGCCCGGGGCCCATGGCGACTCTGAGGTTTCGGATCTTCAGCTCCCCGCCTTAGGGGGAGATCCGAGTCTCAAGAAGCATTCGTGGGAGCCTGGAAGGCCCTTCAAACTTGACGAAATGAATGTATTACCGAGGATCTGAGTGTCAGAGTCTAAGGCTGAGATCGTCGGTAATCCTTTCAATTTCGTTTCGTCACCTGTACTCCGAAAACCTAGTTATTCTGACAAAATCAGTAACATACCAACCCCCCCAATCAAGAAGCTATTTTCTTGTTAAGCCCATTTATAACCCGAGCCCTGTGGCTCTCCCGAGGAAGCCTTCACGAAGATGTGCAATGCCGGCTTCTTAGTCTCTCTTCGACTGCTAGTAGTTGGTTTAGGGTTCAGGGCTTTAGGGTTCTATGTGGTTCAGGGTTTAGGGCTTTAGGGTTCTATGTGGTTTAGGGTTTAGGGCTTCAGGGTTCTGGGTGGTTCAGGGCTTTAGGGTTCCATTTGGTTTAGGGTTTAGGGCTTTAGGGTTCTCTGTGGTTTAGGGTTTAGGGCTTTAGGGTTCTCTGTGGTTTAGGGTTTAGGGCTTCAGGGTTCTCTGTGGTTTATGGCCTAGGGTCTTTTGGGGTTCTATGTGATTTAGGGTTTAGGGGGTTGGCAAGAATATCTTACTTTTTGGGTTGAGGGTTGATAGGGGTTTTGGGTATGTTGAAATCGGGTGACTGACGGGTGTCGTTGTAGCAGGGCCGTCAAGAGCCAGGGCAATAAGTCCAGATGGCATCACCCTCAGCTTTTAAATCCGAATGGCATCTGCCAGAGTTTCGGATTTCAGGGTTGTTGGTTCCAGGGTCCAAGGGTCTGGGGTTTAGGATTCAGGTTACGGCTTGGGGTTTAGGGCCGTTTAGGGTTCAGTGCTTGTCGCGTTGAGAGTTCAGGGCAGTTCTGGCTTCCAATACGAGGGTTTTCGACATCAGGTATTCTGTCTTGGGGGCATCTTTTCATAGTAAGCGAGTAGGTGTCTGGCCTGTGTCTGTTTGATTCTGGCTAGGCCCGCTCCCATGTGTACTGCGCAGCCATGAGAACATGCAAGCTCGATTCGGCCAGCTTTTCCTGCACGCTTTTGCCGTGACATTTGCTGAGGACGAGTCCGACATCGGCTGCTGCCTCAGGAACTAAACCCCTAAACCCACAAACCCTGAGAACCCTAATGTAAGGGCCTTGATAATAGAATAGGGTCTTGGGGGTACCGTATTATCAGTATAATAAAATATACCCCCCAAACCCGATTCAAACCATTAAGGCTTTTGCATTAAACCTTGAACATCTAAACCCCGCTGTATCAGCCCGATGTCTCTCCTCGAAAGGTCTCTGCAAACGTCGCCGTGGTGTGGAGTAGGGCTCAAAGTGATAGTAAGTGAAGCTACAGGCTATATGCTAAACGGGCCTTTATCACTATATATGCTATATATGTTGGGGGTACCTTATTATAACTATGTATAGTATATAATGGGCCGCAAAACCCTGTTCTAATTATTAAGGCCTCTATAGTAAGAGCTTTCAGGGCGGAGGGTGTGAGGCAGGTGCGAATCTTGGGGTTAGACTTTCGGGTTTGAAGAGCCGGCAAGAGCCCTTTGTCTTGAGTTTGTTTTTTAAGCCTTTCCCCTAAGATTTGAACCGTAGGGGGCCAGAATAGAAGAACACGGACCGTGTTTTTTTTTGTTAGGGTGCATTTTGAAGGATCTTGCTCACGCTGTTGCTCCTGCTTTTGCTCCTGCTCCTGCTCCTACTGCGGTTGCTCCTGCTCTTGCGCTTACCCATCTTCCAGCTTTGCTCCTGCTCTTGCTCTTACTCATAATCCTGCTCTTGCTCTTACTCCCGCTCCTGCTCTTGTTTTTGCCCTTGCTCCTGCTCTTGTTGTTGCTCCTGCTCGTGCTCCTGAACGCCAGTTGTCCGAAAAGTGCCTTTGTTATTGGGGGGTGGTGTTTCATAAATGGGGCATGGGATTAATTAAAGGGGACGTACTGCGAGGAGCTTCTACCACTGAAGGGCTGAAATTGAGACATCCACTTACTGCTGAGAGTGCTTTCGGCGCGTGCGCCCTGGGCCGTGCCGTGCGACCATGGATGCTCAACACGTTTGCTGTGAGACCCTTCGCTGGAAGGTTGCTATTGCAACGATGTCGAACTGCAGCTTATCCTCAACAAGCTGGTCGCTGCACCGAAGAAGAAGGAGACAAAGAAGAGGCTCCGGGGAAATGTTTGGAGATGCTTTTCGAGTGGTTTGGTTCATTGCAGTGAGCGACGGCCGCATGATCAGGAACTGCAGCTGTTTTTTCATACCATATAAGTCCTACGAGTCCTTGCCGTGTGGTAGATTTCACTGCAATGCCCATGCTCAGGAAGCAGCCAGAGGCAGATTCACCAGAAAAGCGCCAGAAGGTCGAGATCGCATTTCAATGAGCTGCCGCAGCATGGAGGCATTTGGAAACCCGTGTAACTTGCTTTGCTTCGAATTTGGCCCGAGTGTATGTTCGGATGAACTACAAACTCACACACTTCCTCCGCACACCACGTAGTTCTGGATTCAACGATGGCTAAATTCCTAGCACTGTGTTGGGCACCGGCCTCGTTCTCAAATCAAAGCTCCTGCACCTTTAAACTCCGCTCGCCCTGACCAGAAACAGCTTTCATGCCGACGCTGCATCGTTGCCATGTCCCGTTGTGCCACCATGATCACCGCGTTTCGGATTTCGTGCTTGGGGGTATGGTGCTTCAAGTTTAAGGTTGTGCGTGTATGGCTTCAGAGCTTGGCACTTGTAGTTTGGATTGATCGCTTAAGGATTGTGTGGGTCGCGTGAGAGCCACACACCCTGAGCCCAGGAAACGCCACCTCGACGTCGAGACTGTCTGTGTCTTCAATCAGTTGCTGCAAGCATGGCAAGAGCAACCACAGCTTTTAGCGAATGACACAGCAACATCTAGCAATCTAGCATCCCTGCTGGGATCGGGCGTGCCGGCCAGATGCCACACATGCAGCGCGTCTCCAAAACATGAGGGAGTGTGGCGAGGGACACTGCTGGGGCTGAGGCACGAACTCTGAAGAAGTGTGGATGCTTCGGCCATCTGTACTATGTAAGGTCATGCGAAGGTTCGCTGCAGCCAGGACGTTGGGGCTGTTTGTTGCAACTCAGGAGCCACAAACCGTAGCTTGAAACGAGATGTAAAGTAGAACAAATCCATTTTGAGACAGTGCGAGTTGTCTCAGTACAGTAGGATGGAGGATTACTAGGGGTGCCTGGATTCGGGTTTTGAGGGGGCTGGTGAAAAAGGATCCGTGTCTGTCAGTCGACTACTTCGGAAGACAGCAGTCGTTTTCCTTAGTGCAGAGTGTTACAGAATGCGTTGGTGATGCGAGTACTTATTATAAGTAGTCGTGCCATGCGCAAAAGACACTGTTGTGATCGTAAAGCTACGAAAGAATATGTAGGGTGCTTTTGGCGCCGTCCTGCATGTGGGGCTGTATGGTTAAGACTCGGTCTACCTGTGAGAGTGCTCGGACAGTGCAGTCAACATGACACTGCCATTGAGTTAGTCCACCCGTAGTGGCTACAGGGATCAGCGGTCCTGTGCGCTGAGCTTTGGCTCTCAGAGGCATGCGAAATGTGCCCAAACGATTTGCATGAGAACATCAAGGAAACTTGCAGCCGCCAGGATCACACCAGCTGACATGAACCCGACAGGGATTCAGACCCGGTTTCAGTTAAGGCAGCTTGTAGTTCCCCGAAGTCGTGCACATGCCCGTGAAGCAAGAAGCTTATTGAACAATCGAACCACCCAGTGCCAGTAACGCAACTGTACTGATGTAGGGGTTTTAGTAATTCGAATAAGGTTTTAGGGAATATTGTGCTATAACCATAAAAAGGAACCCCCAAAATACTACAGGCAATCATTTTCCAGATTATCCAGGCATGTAGAGGACGCCGATGGAAGTTTCTGCGGTCAACATCTGAAACAGGCTGGCTTTGGCACTAACGGGAAATACGTGACGGAACACCTTATGACTGCAACCATGACATGTTCAGCTGGAATCATTAATTACTTAGCGACTTAGTACGAACGAACAAGACAACACCGACAGCGGTTCCAGAATCTTCGCAACTGTAATCCCTATTGTGAGTGGTATGCACAGCTATAGCAATGATACCAGCATCACCATCAGGGTCATCAGAGTCATCATCATGTTTAGTATCTACAGCATCGTCACACTCAGGCACAAAGTGTGGCCGTTCATGTGTCAGCTGAGTCAACAACTACTATTGCGCATTGTTTGTTTGCCACCCGAGTCGCATAATGGCATTACAAGAAAACAACAGCAACCTGGCAAGTGCTGGAAGGTAGTTCAGAATGCACACCGAATCATAAACTGGCATAGTGTAGGAACCTGATTAAGAAACCTTGGGCCTTTATTTGGGTTCCTTATTTGAGCCCTATTATTTGGGGGTTATAGGCCCAGGTTTTTCAAAATTCAGCTTCCTACATTAGTGTAAGCAGCAGTCAAAAATAGCAACGTGTAACAATGATTGACGTGCTTCAGTATGTGAGTTCGGGGAAACGAACCGTGAAGGCTAAAAATCAAAGATACATGTAATGTATTTCTTCGAAGCCCATTCATCTGCTTGTTCGTTTGGGCAGTAGATATGCATTGGCACTTGTAAATAGCATGTGAGTTCCATGACATGCATTCGTAACAGCACGTGTTGTGCATGCTTCGCACCGGACAGCCACAGTATAATATAAGCCTACCAGAGTGACGAGTCGCCGTCGTCCTTGTCGCAGTCGTTGTTGTAAATAGCGCAGTAGCAAAACCGCCACCGCCAGAAGCATCATTGATGACCTTAGACGCACGACATTGATCGCAGGAGCAAAATACACCAGCGCTGAAGACACAAGTAGCAAGCAGGACACGGTGGTCGGAATCAGAACAGTCGTTGCAACGCTAATGGGGGGGTTGATGTTGCGGACTGGCAGAGGATGTGGATGGCTTTTTCGATTTAGTTTAAGATGGGGATTGTGACATCTTCTGTCAGCATTGTGAATCGGCCTGTGCATCGAAGCACCCAAAGGGTGCCTTCCAGCACTCGCAAGCTTGTAGTAGGAGCTGTTCAACTCTTAATCAGCTAGCAGGACCTTGCCCCAACCGGATCTTTGCCCGGAAGCTCTTCCCAAAAGCCGCTGTAGGCGCCGGAGGCTCAAGCACAAAGCCTCAGAAATCGCTGCCTCGGAGATGTCGGAGGAGTGGGAGCGTGATGAGGCCAGCGGGCTGTGGTACAAAGGCGGGGACCGCACTCAGCCGTATGCCTCCGATTGGAGCCCGGTGCCCATGGGCCCAGCGCCGGTCTTGGAAAAGGCCCGGGCTTTGGCCACACGGGTGCAGGTCGCAGGACTGACTACCATTTCTGGAGAGGGCTTTCCGCGATCTCGCCTGGTCTCTCCAGGCGAGAAGTACGTGGCTGAGGATTTCTCTTCTGTCACAGTGGCGACGCGCCAGCGGACACGCAAGGTGGAAGATATTGTGGCACATGGCCACAACAAAGTCTGCTTGTTCTGGCAAGACACACAATCCGACAAGCACTCTGCTTGGGTGTGCGCTGTCGGCGAAGCCAGCGTAGCTTTTGCTGACGGCGGGGAGAAGGCCACCGTGTCCATCACTGTACAGCGTCTGGAGATGCAGGACTATGGCAGCCACATCACCGCAGACGGCCACGACAGCTGGAAACCCGCGATTCTCGAGCGCCAGACTGGCGAGTGGCATCGGGTATGCTAGGCTTTTCGCACATGTCTGCGGATGTCGCTCGCACTTGTGAGCAAAACACTGCAATCCAACTTATATAAAGGCTTAACAGATGAATCCTTTCGTTGAAGGACGCCCAATGTAGCAGCATGTTCAACATGACAGTGATGGCACAACGAGTAACGTTCACATCATATCTTCAGATTTAGACACCCGACCCTTCACGCGCCCAAGGATGCAGGCCTCCCTCCTCGCAAGTAGCGGTGTTTGGGCCGCACCGTCGTTGTAGATCCGATTGGGCGCTGAGATTCTAGTTATGTTCTGCGACTTGGATTTTGCAATTGCGGAATTCTACAGATGGAGTCCATGAGGCAGTCCTGCAGATGCGGCCTTCCGCAACGAAAATAACCTACAGCTGTGGCCCGAAACTGCATCACGAATCCCAGGGACACAGCCCAGACGCCTGAGCAGGATACGTCAGCAAAGACGTCAACGGCGATGGCGACCGCACAGGCCGAGACTTGCCGTGGCCTACTCTTCTTAGGAATCGTAAGCCTGCTCTTTCCGATTTCGGCACGTGCCAAGCAGTGGTTTTTTCTGATTCCAAGCTTTGCTGCTGGAAGCGCGAAACCCCATGGCCGGTGTCCGAATCACCGGTACGACCCCGAGAAGTAATCTTAGAGCTATGCAGAGCCACTTATAGTGCCTAGTGGTCCAACTGATATCTAATGGTAGCATTGTAGTCTACACTGTGTTCCAAGCTAGCGGTTTTCAGGTCGCCGCGTTGCGTCGTTCGATCCTTCCATCACCATGAGTGCCTTAGTAGGGTGTTATGCTCTACCAATCCGGCCATTCAGTTGGTCTTCTGCCTTTGTGTTGTTGATCTTGTCCGAGGCTTGGGCCCTGAATCCAAGCAGTCTTAAGCCCTTTAACCCCACAGCCTAAACCCTGGAAGCCAAGCCTACACCCTACGCGCCTCAAACTAAGCGTAACCAACATCCAAGAGGGAGTTTCCGAAAATAGGGGACCCTAACATAGTACCCTAAATAGTAGGATCCTTATATTATGAGGACCCCAAATAAGGTACCCCTAATTTTCGGAAACTCCCAAACCCTAAACCCTAAACCCTTAACGGAACCTTTCTAGATCCCTTTAAAGGTACCCCTAATTTTCGGAAACCTCCCAAGAGGTCCGAGGAGCTATGGAGGGAAATCCTGAATCCAGGCGGCTCAGCGGTTCAGAGGGATCCTCGAAATTTGGAGTCAGGGACCTGTAATATAGGGGGGTTAGGGTTTAGGGTTTAGGGCTTTAGGGTTTGGGGGTTTAGGGTTTAGGATTTAGGGCCTATGTTGCTACCAAGAATATTTTTGGGGGGATCTTTGTTTTAACTATCGTAATTAGTATTCAAAATTTAACTCAAGACCCTATTCCAGTTATTAAGGTCCCTCTAGGAGGGCCCCCTTCGTGTGGAGGGCTCGCTTCGGGGTTGGTTTAAACATGGGCTATCTGGCTCGGACTTCAAAGACTAGCATGGCTCGTGGTCAGAGCCAGTAGTGCTCGATCTCATGATCCATGTTAGCTTCATTTTCGGTTCAGTTCCCTCTTGCACCCATGAAGCCCAGGCAGCTCATGCCAACTGTCCGAGCTCGATGAATCAGAACACCCCCGAAACCCTATTCTAATTAGAATTATCGGTCATCGTATTAGACCTGCGTCTCTTCAAATGGCGCAACGAAGCAGATCGCATAGCTTAAGGATATACACAGGTGCGGCTTTAATTCATCGGTTGCGGCTTTAATTCATCGGTTCTTCCGATTTACAATGTATGTACATACGTACCTGCATGCAGACATCATAACTGCTACTGGTACACTATTCATCTCTGCAAAATCCATTACTGCGTGTTTGGATGTGCTTATTCAACGTTGTGCCACTGCTGATCCTGATGCCAGGTTGGGCTCCTGCAGCAGGCTTCTTCATTCAGAGACATGGATGAAAGGCCACACGAAAGGTTTGGGATGCAGGGTTTACAGCCTTCAGGATGTGGCGTTGAACATCTAGGATTTTGTGTTCTGTTTCTGAGTCTGCAGTTCAGAGTGTAGCGCTGAGTGTTCAGAGTTTAGTGCTAAACGCTAACGCTTCGTTTACAGGTTTTGGCAGAGCTACTCTTCCTGGTTGTGCATGGCTCATGGAATGACAAAAGGGGAGCACTGAGTAAGTTCGGTGCGGGAGGTTGAGGCCAGTCCAGGACGAACTCACGCTGTATTGGCCCGCGTTGCCGACCCAGGGGCCATGGTCTGAAACAGCAACCACAACAGCAACATCAACAGCAAGAGCAACAGCAACAGCAACAGCACAGCAACATCAACAGCCACAGCAACAACACCAACAACAATAACACCAACAAAAACACCAACAGTAGCAGCAGCAGCAGCAGCAACACGAGCAAGAGCAACAACAAGAACAACAATAACACCAACAGCGGCAACAACAACATCAGCACCAACACCAAGGCAAGCAACATCGCCACCAACAACAACTGTTCCAACAACCGTAACAATAACAACGGCAAGGACGACAGCACCGACAATTCCAACAGCAACAACAATACCAACAACAGCAGCAGCAACAACAACACCAACACCACCGGAACAACAACAACAGCAACAACCACAACAACAGTACCAGCAACAATAACCGAAGAAATAACAACAATAACAACAATACCAACAGCGACAACAACAACAACAACAACAACAACAGCGGTAACAACAACGACAACAACAACAACAGCAACAACCACAACAACAGTACCAGCAACAATAACCGAAGAAATAACAACAATAACAACAAGACCAACAGCGACAACAACAACAGCGGTAACAACAACGACAACAACAACAACAGCAACAACCACAACAACAGTACCAGCAACAATAACCGAAGAAATAACAACAATAACAACAAGACCAACAGCGACAACAACAACAGCGGTAACAACAACGACAACAACAACAACAGCAACAACCACAACAACAGTACCAGCAACAATAACCGAAGAAATAACAACAATAACAACAAGACCAACAGCGACAACAACAACAGCGGTAACAACAACGACAACAACAACAACAGCAACAACCACAACAACAGTACCAGCAACAATAACCGAAGAAATAACAACAATAACAACAAGACCAACAGCGACAACAACAACAGCAGTAACAACAACGACAACAACAACAACAACAACAACAACAACAACAGCAACAACCACAACAGCAGTACCAGCAACAATAGCCGAAGAAATAACAACAATAACAACAAGACCAACAGCGACAACAACAACAGCAGTAACAACAACGACAACAACAACAACAACAGCCTGTAGCTAGGACTGCTGCGACTACGATGACTCTACTGCTCTACTGCTTGTCGTGTGCGTATACCACAACCATGGACCGCCACTGCTACCGCAAACGGTACCACTACTGCTACTCGCACTGTTACTGCCACTGCCACTTACATTAGACCAGCCGTTGGGACGATTTGAATTCAAGAAAAAACCGTGTGACATGTCTCGGTTGTAACCATGCAAGCGAAAAAGACCACAAACAAGGAAAGTGCTACTCGTACTTGCTTGCAAGCAGGCTGGCAATGGATCGGAGTAATCGTTTGCGCGATCTCGTGCCCTGGATGCTCTTGGTAAACCTTGGCTTGAGCCCTGAACCCTGACGCTTGCCTGCCTGGTGCGAGTGCGAGCATCGAAACCCTAGTACCAGTCAGATGGTTTTTTTGTCATACATGGGTGGTTGTCAATATTAGGGTCTCTTTTTGTGTCCTTAATATAATACGGCACCTAATATTTAGGGTACCCAAAGAGGGACCATCATTTTGACAACCACCCACATGTCACTCGGAAACCAACATCCACAAGCTCCCAGGTATTATGCCGGCATCACGCGAGCACTGTTTCTGATCTCCCCTCCAGTCTGGCCCTCAATACTTAAGGCGGCTGGTTGAAGAGCATATGTTCTTCTTTGCAGGGTGTGTCAGGTTGAAGGTTTCGAGTTTCGATCCACTTTGAGCGCATTTTTAGCTATCAGTTTAAAAACCTAGTCTCAGTTCTATGACCACAACACAGTCGAATCGATCACTAGCCTGACCACTGTTGCTAGTGTCTGTCTGATCGTTACAGTAGATGTAGCAGCAGTAAGGCGCAGTGTAGTGGTGGTTAGTAGATCTGAGAATTGGAGTAGGAGTAGTAGTAGTAGTAGTAGTAGTTGTAGTAGTAGTAGTAGTGGCAGGAGTAGGAGTAGGAGTAGGTGTAGGAGTAGTATGGAGTCGTAATAAAGATGCCCCTAAAATCATCTTCACTACAGCTGTAGCAGCCTGAGAGTCATCGGCAGTGGCAACATCTTCCTGGTCTGCAATGTAGGAACCTGATTAATCAGAAACCGTGGGCCTATAACCCCAAGATAGTAGGGTTCATATAAGGAACCCGAATAAAGGCCCAAGGTTTCTTAATCAGGTTCCTACATTACCATCACCGTGAGAATCACCCTGATCATGTTTCGTCATCTTCTTGTCCTTGACCCATGTCGCGTGGAGGCCGCAACCCCAACTTCCCGCCACAACCATGCCGATGATAGTGTTTATGAAGACGACTGCGATTACAATGACTACGGCGACAGAGAGCTGGATAATGACAACGGCCGCAATCAACACCACAAGCCTGTTGATCTTGATAGCAAGCAGTGTGATTTCGTTCATCTTGGCCAGGGTACAGTTAGAAAGTGGCATCCGTCGTATGGAAATGTCGAGATTATTGATTCAGGTGTACAGGTGGGCCTTCGTGGCAGGAGGGGTTGAACCTTTGCAAATGTATCTTAGGGACCCAAAAGCAAAAGCATTTTATATGGATATCCCTACCTGAATTGGCTTGATGATAAGGGGGTTTATATGGGATATCCCTATCCTGATTTTTGCTTAGGTGCCTTTTTGGGGGGTATATTAGTATCAGGTCAGGATCC